ATGATGTAATGATGTGATGATGTAGCAGACTGGAGATGAATAAAATGCCTTTTTAACTGTTAATCATGGCCGCATCCTGAGAGGTGAGCCTGGAGCTGAGGAGCTGCCTTCTGTAAACTCTAAGCAATTTCTCTGATCTGAGTAAGATTACAATTTCTATCAGAATCTGTTGTCATGTCTCCTGGTTATTTAATACATATAAGTTATGAGGTATTATTTAAAGAGTTTGTCCCAAGTTATCTCTTTTCAGGGAAAAGACCCAGAGAGATAGAGCTTTGAGGTGCATAAACAGAGCCTATCTTTAATAGTTTAGAGTAACAGATTATAATTAAAAATGTCTCTGGACCTTTACTGGTTGTTGATTCTCTTTATTCGGACTCTGCTGATTTTTAAATGGTTACCTCTGCTTTAAACTGTTTAACCTGGGACTTTGGAAACCCTTAAATGAGTTTACATTTGAACAACCACATCCCACCACTTGTAATGCTAGGATTCCTCTTTCAGCCGAGATCTCCAGTTGGTTTGACCTAGCTTTAGTCCTCTACCTTGCAGCCGCTGGAAGATATAATCCGAAGGTCAGCAGGAACCCGGTCTCCCCCTTTAACTTCCACCAGGTCTCCCAGCACCACAAATTCTGCGTTGATCTGCATTTTCTCCCCTTCACGAATAACCATCGCTTGCTGGCATGGAGATAAAGGCGAAGACATACCGTCAGAGGGAGATGGAGAATATTGCACCAAGAGAGGATTTAGTAAGATGAGAGAGATGTAAAAAAGGAGCAGCCAGAGGGTGTAGTAGTATATTAAAAGCTGATACAGAAGAAAAGGAGGAAGACAGAAAAGATAGGTAAGGGAAAGAGGCACAAGAAGGGAGGGAAAAGAGCATAAATAGATTAAAGAATTAGGCAATCGAAGTGCTGGAGGTGGATAACGAGAGGGGAGTTTTTATGCAAACACACTCACAATCCAGAGTTGGCTCAAACATTTATTTTCCTTTGTGCAAGCTTATTAGGTTTCCACTCAAGTGAGTGTGTAAGCCCTACTTGAGGGATAGCTTATTGATTCAGAACGCTCTGAGACTGCATCAAACTCCTCATGCATCACCGTACCTGTGGCACCATTTTCTTGAATGAGTCCATGATTCGAGAACTCTTAGCCTCTTGGAAGTAGGAGAAACAACCGGTGATGATCACCACGGCAGCCAGCACCACTCCCAGATAGAGCTGAAAGAATAAAAGAGCAGAACCACAGGGGCTCATTACCCACCTAATTCACTTTAGGCATATCTGAGCGTAGAAACGATCTTCAATTTGTTAAGAACTTAATGCTAAAGATCAACCTAACAGACTGCCTTGCAAAAGCAGTGACCAGATTTTATCACTTTGACATCAAAAACTTGTATTTTATTTGGATTTTGGACTAATAAAGGTACATGGTGCATACAGTAACAAATAAAAATCTGAAAAGTGTTTGGTAAATTAAACTTCAGGCCAGTTTGGTAGAACCACATTTTGTTGAATTTACAGCAGTAGATCCTATAGGGTATCTCCTTATCTGCTTTGTATATCTAGTAAATAACCCTTTTCCATTATTTTTGGCATAATAGCTCAAGCTCACTCAGATTTAGAGATTCCGAACGGATTAAGTCTGAAATATTTGAGTGTGCCTCTGACCCATTCATTACTGCTCTGACTGTACGTATAAGGTTGCTGTTCTGCAAGCATGTGGACCTCTGATCCAAACTCAGATGTTCCTCAGGTTCTCATAGATCTCTTTCAGCTTTCATGTTGTCTGTTAAAGAAAACCATCTATGTCGGATGATGCTCCCACCACACACGCATGGGATGTATGTGTTCAGGATGGTTATTTTCAATTTCACAAAGCATTTTGCATGTAAACCACAAACATTACTCAAAGTCTCACCTTAGCACCCTCTCTTAATTTGCTGTGTCCCGTCATGGGACACAGCAAATTAAGAGACATGGGACACAGCAAATTAACTATTAAAGACAGAAAATGGTAGAACCTACCCCATTTTTGAGCATGATATGTTAATGGAAACAAATATCTGTATTTTTCTCTTCTTTTTTATGCACTTCTTGTTACTGTGCACTATTTTATTTTATTTTTTTTTATATTTGTATCATGTTCAAAAATAAATAAATCTCAAATCTCACAATGGGTTATGGCAATCTGGAAACTTCTTGTGTTTCTCTGTTAGCTATGCTCTCTTCTTGTCAATCCTCCAAAAACATTTGATTGGTACAGTAGAGTGAACAGCTATGATATATGCTATCAGATTCTTGCACCTGAACTGGATATCTGTAGCTCCTCCAGAGCTGCCTTGGGCCTCTTGGCTGCTTTAATGCTCCTCTTGCTCGACCGATGTTTTTGGCAGATCAGCTGTTGTGTCATATTCCTCCATTTTTAGATGATGGATTGTCAGCACTGTGTGAGATGTTCTTGGAATATTCTTCGGTTGTTTGAATCCCTAAATCCAGCTTCATCCCTGACTACACTGAAAAAATACATGCAAATCCCTGTTTTCATTTCATAAAAAATAAAAAAAGTGATAAGCATGTGTCATCTTCTTTCCATTTTATTATTTGGGGAAACTTTTTTTGCTTCTGTTTCATAAATACCTAAAAATACATAGCAGTTCAAAAAATATGAATATACGTCGTAGCGTGTGCCTTAGATGATCCTAATATAGCGATCAATACTCTTTAACCTTTTATTTCTGAATGAAAACAGGAAAAACGTTCCTTTCTCAGGCCGTTAAACAATTTATGTAAGCAAAGGTGGTCACAGAGCCCAATATATCTATAGAACTGAATTACTCTTTTTTTTGACAATTAGTTTTAGTGTAGTAGAGCATTTTTCTGAAAAAGATCTGTTGGGCCACCAGGAGAGTGAATATTGCTTTATAGCCTTATATCATTTTCAGACATATATATTCCGGTATGTTTTTGTTTTGCTTTTGGTATCTATTTTCAGCTACGCAACAAGAAACCTTCCATGGGTTCATCTTTCACTGATACAAACAAGACAGCCAGTCACTGTGGATGAAAGCATCTCCAGCTGCTGCACTCTCTGCCTTGGACTGCTGGAAAATGAAAGTCTTAAACCATGAGAAGGTTCTGCTTTTATTTGAGAGCAACAGCACAATATATTTTCACAGTTTCACACTTGAAAGTCTTTTTTTTTCCTTACTGTGGATGTGTAAAATGTGGTGAACCAGGAAATAAATCTGTTACCTCAGAAAGCCCCCCCATCACTGTTAGCATTTGCCAAAAAACTTTGTGTTCTCTTTGCAGATACTGTTTTTGTTTTGTCCCATGTGGTATTTGTAGATTTTCTTTCCCTTTTTTATTTTTTATTTTCCTCTTGCTGTGGAGGAAAGCTGCTCGCGCTCACCTGCTGTGCAGAAACGTAGGTGCTACATCTGTCCCAGCAGGTGGGTTTGAAAATTTCAGGCACAAAACAGCCTATATGCAAACAAGAGAACATAAATTTAAAACTGTTGAAATAATCATCCAATTTGAGGGCAATTTTAAAAACCAGAAAATGGTAGAACACTTTTATCACAAAATAATGGGTTTTTATCTGACAATGGGCCCATGCGACGCTCTGCGGGTGTTGATTTTCATCTCAAATAACTGTTTGAATTTTACAAAGTGTCAAAGCTGCAGCTAGTTGGGGCTTTGAAGCAGCTCACCAGAGCGTCCAGCACTTACACCCTCAGAACTGAATGGAGAGATTTAATCTCCGGGAGATAAGGTTTATCGGGAGCGTGCACGGCTGCATCTACTGTCTGTTATGCAAGAGTTTAATGCTGAGTGTAGTCAGAGCTGAATGATGGTTGCATAATGACTCAGAGCCATAAGGTGCAGCGCGGGTGGCGATGGCTTTATTTGCTCAGTGGTTGGTATGAGTAATTTTCCATGGCAGAGCCAGGAATTTGGGCCATTTGTTAAATGTTCTTTTTTTTACTCATTGGGTAGAGAGGACAAAATCAGGGCGAGTTTTTATATTACAAAAACCGTAAACAAACTTTTTGTATGATAAAGGTTCTCTTTCTGGTATTTCTATAATTCTCTTGATGCAATTAACCACTTCCAGGAGCCATTTTCCTTTTTTTTTTTAGTAAGATGAGGTTGGTAAAAATCAAAAAGTGTGTAAAATTTTTTGACCGTATAAAGAAAAACTTTTATGTATTTTTATTCATAAGTTAAGCCTTCTAATTGTTATTATTTCTTTTTATTTTGCACGCTTAGAAAACATTCTTATCCAACAAAAAGGAGTATCTTATCCAACAAAAAGGTAGCATATTTGATGCTTTGGCGATGACGGTGTAATTTTTTTGGTTAGAAAACTGCTTACTTGTGTTTAGCCAAAGTAACATCCCGGTGTTTTTATTAGTGTTGTAAGTAGGAAATTTGGGGTGGGAAATGTTACCTTGATAAAAACAAGGAAACATCTATAGAAAAAAATAAATAGATATGAATTAAAATTCTATACAAATCCTGAAAACATATAACATAAAGACCAATTATGTTTGCGGATTTTTACTTGCATTTTTGTTTCTAACCACTACAATAAACACACTACAACAATAAAAAAATTAAAAAGCAAATTTTCACATAGACTTGAGTGAAGCTTTGCCGGGTATTTAAGAACGTATCTGCTATTTTTGTGGATTCAGTTAAAATCTGTAAAGCAGATTGTTGTTAAGATACTGTAAGGGGTGGAAAAATAGGAGTAAAAAAATATCACAGTTAATTTATTTTGCAAATTGTTCTTTTTTGGATCATAACATATGCGTTCAAACATCAGTGTTGGAATATTTGTAAAATATCAGTGAAGATGAAGAATAATTCCGTGATAATATTGCAAATTGCTTCTTTGACTGATTACAGTGTTGTTGTTTTCTATGCAGTTGTCTTTTGTCACAGGCTTATTTTTTCACAGCTTTTTCTTCTGAATGTTTTTGTTTCGTATCCCTATTAAAATGGCTAAGATAAAAATATACAATTTCTTTGGTTAAAATTGATGATAATAGAAGTACGGAGCTGGACTTTTCAAAAATGCATGTTGATGTTTTCTGACTATTTGCACATACTGTATTTTTTTATTTCAATACCCTGTTCACAGATTGAAAAAACAAATTTTCCATTCAATGCTTTAAAAAACAAAACAAAAACAAAAAAAAACAACCAAATGACCATTAGATTGGTGAAACTACAGACATTACAGGTTCTAAATGTAATAAATCTGCATTTGCTTTTTCAGCTACCTGGATGAAGACAATAATTCAGCTGTGATGATCGCTTCCATGGAATTTGTACCACTTCCCTTCCAGGTGGTAAATGATTTTAAGTGGATTAAATGAAGCAATGGATGTTATTTTCTGCAAAAGTTGACATTATACTGGCGTTCATACAGAATATTTGCATGTGGATTTTGGAGACTAGCCACCTTGCACATTTTCCCTCAAAGAGCTGGTATCATATGGACACATACATCCATCAGATGCAGGATTCTGTTGCACCATTTGCCTGCAGGTTTTATGCATGTCACATTTATGAAGAAAAAGTTTCCACATGTGAGGGTGGTGTTGAATATGGTTATAATGGTTGCACAATTTCCTTCAATAATGCTGTGAATGCATTATTTAGGTAATGGCTCCTGCCAGCAGGGAGTCTTATTTAGTTACAGCATCTTGCTGAAATAAGCACTTGTGCCAAAACTAATGTCTACACTTGCCATGTTGTGCACTAATGAACCACTCAATGGTAGAATGCATGCATGTGTTAGAGTTCCTGCACATTATCCTGTTGCAAACCTCATCAAAGTGTATTTTCTGGGAAAATTAAGTCATTTAGGAGCCACAGTTTCTTCACAAAAGATGAGAAAACAGAAAAAAAAACATCTTGTTTTTCTAATGCAAATTACGTTTTAAAGAGATCAACCCTATAATCCTGATGGTTAATAGTGACTGGTTAGTCTGTCCAGATTAAGTAATGATATTCATTTTTATTCAAATGCTCGCTTAAAAAAACCTGCACAAACTCACTAGAGGACATAGGTAGTGTTAGATGGGGGCCATCAGGGGCCAGTGCCCTTATAGAACTGCTCCTGGTTCCTGTTATAGCCTTATACTGAAAACAAACTCCAAAAATCTAAATGTATATGATATTTGTTATTGTTTCTTTGTTTGTTTTTGGAGTTTTTGTGTATATTACTTTGATATAAACAGGTAGGTAATACAACCTAAAGATGGAATAGCATCTGTTTAAAAAATAAAATCAATTATTATCTTAATTCAAGTGCGTAATATATAAAGTTTTAAGGGCCAACATCCTCCTTCCTTTGGCAGATCATCTTATTTATCTGCTCAAATTAAAGGCACATTTAATAAACAGTGATTTTAAGAAACTTTTCCTTTTTAAATCAGTTTCTGTAGTGTAATACTAGCGCAGTTCCTTACGATGATATATGCTAACAAATGAGACTGTAATTGATTTTTCCTTTAGACCAAATTCATATGTCGGCTTTCCAATGTACTTTTGCTCAGTGTGGTGTGTTATTCATTTGTTCTTAGCCTTATGAAAAATCCATAGCCTCACACCTGGCAATACATCCATTCAAAGATACTTAACATAAAAAATGTCTGCCTCTTTTTAAGAATTTGATTTCAGAATTTTTGATTTGATATCTTACAGGAAATCAAATAAGGAATAAAGTCTTAAAATACATTTGTTTTGTTTGTTCTATATGCCTATATAGACTGAAAAATGATTGTGACATAAAAACCCATGAACTCTCACACACCCATAAAGATGCATAGTGTGATAGCTGGTAAGAAAAATGTAGTTAATAATTGTTTGAGTTCTGAAGTTTGTGAGGTAAGGCAGTGAACAGATATACGGAGGATTCTCCATGCCATAGAGATCTAGGTAAATCAAAGGTCAAAGTCCAAACCTGACACCTGTGGTTCTCCATACAGCTTCCTGAAACACTTTAGTTTTGTGCCACAGTCAGCACACACAGATAACAAGGAATACTGTTTGTAAATGTCATATAACGTGGCTTAGGTAGGTCCTATGTGATTTAAGAAACATGTAAAGTATTACATTGTTTTCCCTACAGAACATACCAGTATATCCCCTTTGCAGGCTTACTTTCAATAGTGCATCCAAGTGCCCTGCGTTTCTAGGTAAGCGGTGCAGGTGCATTCAGCCATCCACACAAAGTAAATAACAATTTGATTCATTACAATCAGACCAGGCCACCTTCTTAATTTGCTTTGTGGTCAATTTTATATGCTCACATGGTCATTGTTGGAGGCAGAGGTTGGCATGGGAACTCAGACTGCTCTGTGACTATGTAGCCTCACAGAAGCTGCACTAACCAAAGAATGCTGCACTGTTTGCTTTAAAACCTTCACAACCTGGTTTTCACTTGTTTTACTGAACTGGCCAGCCTTTGCTCCCGACACACACTCTAACCTCATAATTTAACCTTTACCTATTAGAAATGTATTAAATAATAGAATTAATTTGTAATTACATGAAGTTGGCTTCAGCAAATCAACAATTATGTCTGCCATGTTTTTACATCTGCACGCTTGCTTTAACATGCATTTTCTCACATTATCATTGGCCGGCTCATCCTCCAGTCCCGCCTGGATGCTGTAGGCCAGGAAGCAGAGGATAGCACCGATCCACAGCAGCATGGAGAAGCCACCGAACAGCTGACGGCAGAACTTGATCCACTCCGGGGTTGTGGCGGGAGGAGTCAGAGTGTTCGGACCGTCCCTAGCCAGAATCTCTGCAGCTCTGGCATTGGTCATGCCCTGAGGGAGAGCAATTTTTAGGAATGAATGTCCTTCTGCTTGCAATGGATATATATTACAGCACAACGGCCCAGTTTTTACAGAGGCTTAAAGGCAATTTTACTGCTTCAGCTGCAGAACATCAAGTATTCCTTCCTGGCCTATTTAACACAATAAGCACAATAAACTGGTAGATTCTTCCTGTACGAGTTGCTTAGCTGAGACTTTATTGAACATTTTATTCAGATGTCATGTATTAACCTAAAGGCTCTATACATACTATGAATACATGAAATGCAAAGATTTTAATATACTTTCCAGCCACTCACATTGAATTCAGTGAGCATGGTATCTCGGCTGCCTGAACACTTGTTCTCCCTATTCTTCTATTATTTCCATAATCTAAGCAAGATAAAATCTGCTTCACTTAACCTGCAAAGCTGCAATATCAAGCTTAAAGCTAAGCAGCAAATGTGGCTACAGCAAAAAGACTTTGTGTGTTTTGTATCTGTATGTATATACCATGGTAGGTTGTTTTTTGGGGGGGCATCAAAGGATGCAAGTTCCTTTGTGTGTGCAAGGGATTAAAGATGAAATGAGCCCAGGTGAGCTCGGCATGCTGTGGTGGGTCTAAGTCGACCAAAGAAGCGTCCGGTCTCAGTTTGGATGTTGCCTTCCAGGGAAGCCGAGCAAAGATTACATCTTTGTGTGGGATATTATAGCAACTCTTTACTGGGTGCTTGTGTGTGAGGAAAATACAGAAAGCCGGTGTGATTGTGTGTGTATGGATGTGCTGTTACCCGTGTCAGGTCCACTCCATAGCGCTTTCCCACTTCATCCACAGATATTCTATGGTCATCCTGCAAGTATAAAATATTTTCTTTATAACTTGCTGAACACAAACAGGGCCTGTATTTGGCAAACCATGAAATGGAAAGTAGTTATGATTCTGTAAGGAGTCATTCAGCATTATACGCTATGTGATCTTAGGTTGTATGGCTGCTGTGGAGAGAAGCGATGCCCTACCGCTGCCCCGTCTCACTAAAAAAGGCTTTATTCTTGGTTTTTAACCAGATCCAAGGGAATCAAATAAATGATTCATTTCTCATGACAGATCAGGGAGGTCAAAGATGTTCAATCCCACTGCATCCCGTTGTGCTGAATGTATGAAGTTAGTTTTTTTTTTTTTCTAAATGTTTGTCTGCTGCATTTAAAGATGGACAATATTGTTTATGAAGCAAAACCTTAAAATATGCTGAAATGTTCGCTTGGGAAAAAAATTGTTGTTTCTAAACATATTCTAATCCGGAAGGAGTCACATGCTTACAAAGTCAAAGGGACAATTTTGTTTATCTGAAAGCACAGCTGGGGAATGGGTCAAAGTGACATTTTGTTCTTGGCAGTATATCGCTGTTTTTCACTGATTGTTATCATTTTTGGAAATAATTTAAATCCTGTCCTCCTTTGATGAAAAGGATGTTTGTATCAGCTGCAGCGAGAGAGGGACTTAACAATGAAAATAATGTTTGATTTTGTAGAATTTAACCAAAGAAAGTTGGAATCAAAAGTGTGGAAATCAGTTTAAAAGGAAACTGGCTGCTTAAATGTTAGGTTTGCATTTCTAATTAATATTCAGTTCTAGAAAGGCTTTGAAATAAATCCTTTCTTCATGTAATCTTGACATCAGCAGGTTCAATGTCAAAACTACTGCACTGTAGCACTACGGTACATCTGAATTATCCATGAACATCTAAACTGTCATCTGACTCATTGTAAGGTAAAAGTAAACATTTGAGTTACATCTAAAAAAAGATTTTTAAATCTACATTTATTGCTTTCTGACAAGTTTAAATATATTCCCTTCATTGCTGATCTGAACCTAAAATCTCTGCTTCAATCAAAACGTGGTTCTTGCTCAGCTAAACCAGCCCCATTGCAGGAGTTTTAAAGATATGTTGAACAGTACAAGGTTGATTCTTCTACTTTTATCTAAATAATCCAATATCACTCTGGTGACATTAAATTATGCTCCATTTGTGGGTGAGAAGCGATTGAAAAGTGAATTCCTGGGTAGATATCAGCCCTTTGCTGCTGGAATTAACTTCAAATCCAACTAACAAGCAGAATATGTTGACTGGATATGCATTTTGAGGAATTAGGCTTTGATTTACACTCCATTCATTGTTGGAATTCTGCATTGATAAAATGCTCTTTCCTTTTGCTGTAAACCTGATATAAGGGAAAGGCATTTGGCTCAACCATAAGAAAGCAGGAATAAGGTCTGCATGAACCCTCTTTGGGTACCTTATTGGAAAAAGAAACTATAAAAAATGTTGCCACCTCAAGTCTTTTTTAATCTTTTATTTAAAAATACCAAATATAAAGAAATAGTACTAAGTATGTAAGATTAGTCTAATCAACATTTTTTGATATGCAGATGCAAGATTTTGAAAAATTATAACACTACAGAATTTTGGTTTGGTTTAAACAACTTCCTGTGTACTTTTCCACAGAACCTGTGCTTTCCAGACTTCTGAGATGTATTTATTGCAACTCTTTATGAAAGCAAGCTTTATGAAAAGGTCAAATTGCATACCTGGTAGATTTGGGAAAAGTACCCCATTATTAATCAGCTGTTGCCTGCCTTGTAACCCCCATTCCAAAGGGGCGGACCTGTTCGTCCGGTTCAATTTGCATGTTTTCTAAGCCAAAACAAGGCTTTGTTGTTGGTCCACTCTATAAAGCCTAAAACTCAACACTATTTCTCACATTTTGAATTGAAATAGCTTCATGGACAGAAAGCAAAATGTGTCCAAACTGGAAACAAAGTGGATTGTTTTTGAACTTTTTTGGAAAAACTATGACCTGGATGACTGAGAATCTTCTTATGCTCCGCTAATCTTTAATAAACTCCAATAAACCTCATTATGTTTACATTTGGTCACAATGTTTACATTTTATCACTGCTGCACTTTAGAAACGGAAATGTCTTGAGAGCTGTACTGAATTAGATTTCTTTTTTGGGTGTACACAATGACAATAAAGTCTGTCTAAGTCTAAGAAAACTAAAACCAAGATCAAAACATATTTGTTAAGAGAGACCTATAACTGTGCCACCTTAAAAATAGTAGTTACATTTGCAGTCCAGATTTTCTTTCATTTTCTTATTAATTATTTTATAATATTCTTTTTTATTCTCTTATCTTTTTAATTATTCATTTTTATTCCCTTTAGTTATTTGTGTTTCTTCATTCTTTAATTTTTCTATTGTTTTTGTCCTATTTTTCTTTTTTCTTCAATATGTAGAGCACTTTAAATTGTCTTTTTACTGGTATGTGCTACCTAAATAAGATGGCCTTGCCTTTCCTCATAATACAGCACAGTACCGAAAAAACTCAGTAGGTTCTAGGAAAATCACAACTAAGCTCCAAGAAAATTTGTCAAGCAACTATCAAGTTTCTGGAATGCCTTCTACTGTTAGTCACCTCATAAAATTACCTGACCTGAAATTCCAATAGTGACCAGAAAGTTCCATGAAAATAACCAGTGATCTCATTTTAATAATATCCCTGGTGTTGCAGAAAGTAACGTCTTGATTCTGATAAAGTAACCTTCCGGTTTCATGAGAGTGTCTGTTAAAGTTACACTTTTTGATCCCTTGCATACCCCTTGTAAATGGATCCCTCCCACCCCCGTCCCTCTGTGAGGTCTAGAAGCAAAAGATCTATATCCAGCCATTCAGCAAAGATCCTGCTACATGGCTGTACATCTAATTTTGGCATTTGACCAATTAGATGATCCCTTGAATGATATATTACCTCCTGTAAATTAAGTTTGAAAAAAAGTAAACAAGAAAAAAAAGGTAAAAAGCTAATTGAAAAGTTAAAAACTGAAGTTAAAAAGTTAATAAGCCTAGTTAACAATTATATTTAGGCTTATAAACTAAAAAATGTAAGCCCCAGTATCAGCATTAATGCCTCTAAGGTTATGATGCACCAAAAAAATCTGTTTCTGTCACTCTCAGAGTGTTTTTCATAAATTTCTTGTAGAAGCACTTTTGTCATTTTTCTTAATATATTCAGGCAAGTTGGTGCTTTTTGTTTTTACATTGACATACATTTTTGGCACCAAAATATCCGTATTTTTTAGTGTTACAAAGTTAATGGATTCCAATAACACTATTGGCTTGGAATTTTGATTTTCAAAGTATTTCACTGAGAGCCCTATAAAGGGTTGAGCTATAGATAATATCTAATAAGATTTGGAAAATAACTTCTGTACAATTTTTTATGCTACCAAAAAACAGAGCTCTTATTTAAAATGCTAGAATACTTTAGATACTTAAATAACATTCTTCTGAATTGGCTTGCTTGCTTCTGGAGAGTTTTATTTTGGGTCCATCAATTCTCAATTCTCCATGTTTCTCCAAACTAAGACGAGCTGGACTGATGTTCACTTCAGGTTATATTCTAGTGTCACCCAGTCAATAAAAAAAAAGCCTATTCTAATAACTCTTTCATCTGTTTGTCTATAGCAGGTAGGATTTGATGCTGAGGCTGATATAGTTTTATTAGTCTCACTGAATAAGGGAACCTTTTTCAGCCAGCAAATAAAGAGAAAACTCTATCATTTCCTTACTAAAAGCTGCTTAAGTTGACTGGAAGTAATTTTGCCCAAAAGCAGCTGAATTACCTTGTGTTTTCAAAACATTTAGGTTTTATTTATACTGGGCTATAGCCAGTATTGATCCACTAGCAGCTAGTGGTGATAAAACGGCCTTACTGTGTAAAAGAAACAGAAAGAGAAAAAAACCAATAAAGAATTATATATATGAGGCAGAGTGACGAAAGCAAAATGTGACAATCAGAAAACTCACTGTTGACAGTTTCAAAGGGATTTCAGCTTTAATCAGATTTGGGCCTTATTTCTATTTGACAGCAGTTATTTAGTCATGCATATTGCAAGAAGTAAAACTTAACCCAGTTTCTATGAGCATCATTTGGTGGCATTGTGACAGCACCTCAAATAAACCTAGGGCTTGGCAAAAAGGCAAAAACCCGCACCAGACTGCTGGCGGCCCACAAATTATTCAGTCATTGTGAGTACAAAGAGGAGCAGCCAGGGTGGGGAGGGGGCACCAAAAAGAGAGAGAGAAACTGGTTGGCACTGGGGCTCAGCTTCAGAGGACTGCACTGAGAAGGTTGGATTGCCATTATGTTTACGGGCCACCGTTTTCATTTACAGCCTTGTTAAATAATCTGGTGTCTGTGGCGTAGCGCCATTTGGAGATCATTTGGGAGCAGCAGAGATGAAATCAATCACAGCACAGGGACGGCATGTTGTTGTTTTTTTTCCTTACCAAGGCCACCTCCTTCTTCAGCTCATCCAAGTCCCTATCCTTTTTCTTCCTCTTCCCTCCACTCTCAGCACCCCACTGCGGAAGAACAGAGATATAAGAGCACCCGGCTAAACCAAGGACATTTACATTCCTAGCAGCATATTACAAGCACATTGCACTTGAGTATGCTGGTTCATTTCAATCTTATAGCACTACCGGCAGACCATTTACTGAATATGGAAGATATTTTTCTGTTACTGAGGAAGTTTGTGTGTGTTGTGGGGGGGGGGCTCTGTGTGTTGGGAATAGTTGGAAGAATGGTGCATCATGGAAATCATCTGCCGCTGTCAGTCTCCTCCTAGCAGCACGTGTGTATTTCAGTGCGGCAATGAAGGAGGGATACGCCGGGAGAATGTGAGGGGATACTATGCACGTGAGTGACACGGTGAAAAACTAATCGAAAAAAAAGAGCCAAAGAGGGAGAGCGGAGTCGGTGGAGAGTCTGAAATGTGTTTGGCATAGCAATTTCCCCCCACTGTGCGAGAGGAAGATTACCAGGCTGTCCTCCCATAAAGCTAAATGGAATGAGGTCTGATGGAGAGAATACAGGGAAAATGACAAAATAACGCAGATAAACAGCAAACCAGGATGGAAAAAAATGTATGAGGAGGGGGTGCCATCATCCTTAGACATCTTTTTTTTATTATTCATCTAAAGAAAACTCACAGAATTCATTCTTGCAAATAGCAGCTAAGTGGCCTTTGGTATCTATGAAGGAGCTGCACAGGTCAAGAGCTCAGGTGGTGGAATAGAAAACAGTGTGTTTCACAGATCGGATCTTTATACTAGTAAAAGCTGAAGAAAGTCATACAAAAAAAAACCTTTTCAGTCATGCAGGGGAGATCAAACATGTGGTTAAAGGTACTCTGACTAAATGAGATTAAAATGGAACGTCTTGAGCCGCATGTAAAGGCTAAAAATCTGCAGCACAGCCAAGGCTGAGATAGAATGACATGGATCAAAGCACACGCACGTGTTAGACTGGTCTGTTCAAAGTTCAGTCCTAAACAAACTCATAATATTGCAGGATTTGCTTAAAGTTGGGTTCCATCCAATCTGACAAAGCTTGCACTATTTTTCAATGAAGAAGAGGAAGATATTTTGTCACTGCATATTTAAGCAAAAGCTGGTGGAGGCATCAAACGACATGTAGCTCTACGAGCAGAAAAAGTATTGAGTCAGATTGGCTGCAAGCAAATGCAATTTACATTTTTATACTTTGATTTTTATAAAAACAAATAAAACACCCTGAATACCATTTTTCCCTTTTATTCCTAACTTAAATGAATGGTCATAATGTGACACTATGTGAACTTTTTCATACCATCTCACTAACACTCTATTTGTTCCAGAAACATGCGCTTTGATATATAAAAAATTAGATATGAAACAAACGATTTTGTGTTGCTATTAAGAAGAAATAGATTAGACTTACCCCTCTGCCCATGCTTGGTCTCCAGACGTCTGCAGGTTATGCTGTAAAGGAGAATCTCAGGGGTCTGGCCTTTGCTGAGGTCTCCCGCCAACCACATGCAGAACGCACTGGTGGAGGGTTTTTTTTGGGCCTGGCACCCTGCACCACATCAAATATCCCATTCCCTCCCTCAATGTCCTCTTCTCTCTAGGTAACTTGAGCTACACATCCCCACCCCACACTATTCCCAGGGTTTCTCTCCACTCACAACCCCCCATCACCAAATGCTTTCCCACCTGCTTAATTTTGCCACACATGGCCCCTTGGTTAACAACAGCTCATCAATCACTGCTGTCAGCGCTACAAATGAAACCTTGCTCTCTACATATCTTATACAGTATTTACAATAAACATGATAATGAGGGATCGATAAGAGGCCTGGAGGTTCATAATGAGGAGGCAGCAGAGTGTTCAGCTGTTATGCTTCTGATGCAATCCTAATGTCTGTTGTCCAAATAGATGAGCAATGCAGTGAGTTGTGTTATTCTGTTTGCTGCTGAATCTAGCTTTTCCAGCCTGAATTCTAATCCAATATGAAGCCTCGGTTAGCTATACTGTAAGTCCGACATCTTTTCTTAAATAAGGCCGGTCACTCCACTGTGTTCACACACTAAATGCAGGAAATAACTGAGTGTAAAATAAGCCCCAAATATGTCCTAACTACGGTAGCTGTAATTTACTTAGAGAGCTGATTTTATGCTTGAGTTCTTCCTATATTACAAGAAGAATCGATAATTTAAGAGAAGCCTGTGTTGCCCCACAGATGAAAAAATTGCATGTGACAGTGGGAAAAAACAAGCAGACAGAAGATGTAAGACATTAATACAAGACTCAATATTACAAATAAAAGAAATAAGTAAAAAGTTCAGTTGTATAGTGAAATAAATTAACACCTCTGAGGGAGGAAAACACCTCTATAGTTATCACTTAAAAAAAAGCTATAATCAGATAAAGAAATTTGAAAACATAAAAAAAGCCATATAACAGAACTATGCAAAAAAAAAACCTGAGCGATAGATATGATTGTAGAAAACAAAAACTTGCCAACAGATAGTCAAATAGTCAATAACATTAAGACATAACGTGTTAATAGGATGAGAACAGGCTAAAAAAAAAAATCTGCATCAGATCAAACAGCTTTTAAAGGGTTTTTCAATGCTTATAAGGTCTGGTGATAGTAGCAGAGTGAGAAGTCTAACAGCAGGTAAAAAGCTGGTGATGGTATTTTTTTTTTTTTTTACAGCCCATCTGTCTCCCACCACATGAACTCCAAGGGTCATCTTAGTGCTGAAAGCCTGAGTTCCTTTAAGTCAAAGTTAAAAATCCATTTCTTTAGAGCTGCCTTTGACTGTTGAATTAAAATGTTAAAGGAGAAATCCGGTCAGCAAGGAATAATCAGTGGATCATTATCTATACCTAAAACGAATACGTTTGCAGTGATTTAATGAATTTAGTGTTAATCAGTAAAAAAAATTAAAACAATTATTTTTGTCGTGATCACTGAGTCTGGGAGCGGCCATTTTTGCCCAAATATAGTAACTCCTGGGATCTTCTGGCAGTGACGTAATGGAGTGGTAAGCCTAGCACCATTCTCCACGCTTTACAAAGAAAATCAATGGGAACTACTAGATACATCTGCAATCAACAATTATTTAAGATTTCCAGATGACTTCACTATTGAAATTTGTGAGGAGCTATAGTTAAACTGATAATGCCCACGTGCATAGCAGTTGGATGTTGTAATACATCGGGTAAAAAAGAAAAACAAGTAGGTGTTTCACTGGCCAGAGAAAATAAAATGCCATATGTAGCCAACATTCCAAAGAAGAATGTTTTTTAAAGATGACTTGGAAAATAGCGCGTTGTGACAAACACCAGATACAGCACTGGGACTTGATCAACAGCCGATACCGCACCGTGACATCACAAACCGGTAAGTGGCAGTAGCGTTCTTTAAAAAGCATTGATGTTTCCAATAAAGCACATTCAAATGAAAATTACTCTCAATTAAAAACACTTATCATTTATTGAACAGTATGTAATAATTTCATATTTAAAGTACTTTCAGGAGTTTGAATTCTGAATAAATTTCCTTTAACTGAAGTTTTACTAGTTTAAGGTTGTTGTCCAACTGTTTTATTTGTTTTACTACCTGCTTTTATCATGTTTTTATCTTTATTTGCTTTTACTCTGCTTTTATTTTTCTTCTATTTTATTGTATAATTCATGTAAATCACTTTGAATTGTGGGGCTCCTACTTCAGTATACTGTGTAAAGTCCATTGGAGCTGTACTATACTGACTCTGTAAAAGTAATTAATAAACACTGCATTGTCAAAAGTACTGAGTCTGTTAACATTATTGACAGGACTCTGGTGATTTCCTATTCTACTGCAGCTATGCCAGCTTCAGCTTTGCTGGGAAGGTTTTCCACAAAGATTAGGAGTGTATTTATGGAACGTTTTCAGCATTCTTCCAGAAGCACCTCTGTGAGATCAGACACTGATATTGGATAAGAAGTTTTTGATCACAGTCTTCTCTGTTTTTTATCCCAGAAATCTCCAATCACATTGAGGTCAGTGCTCCGTATAACCCAGGCATTGTTTTCAATGTAAAACACAGACCTTGATGTATGGACTGCTCTGTGGTTATGTTGGAAAAAGAAACTGTTTGCAAAAAGCTAGGAACATAAACTTTTGAGGGAAAACACAGCTGCAAACAATAAACTTCTTGGCACCAAATGTACTAAATTTAGTCAGGCAAAATGCTGTTTTTCTGACAATTTCTAACTCCAGACTCATCCATTGGAATATATGAGGCTCCTGTGTGCTTTACACCACCTTGTCTGCCACTTGGCATTGCACTTCACAAATTAAACATTAGATCTAGCTTATCAGCAATAGATACCCATTTCATTAGGTTCTTTCTGTGGTTTTCTTGAGTTAAACCGAGGTCCAAAGTTATAAAATATGTGAAAAGTATGAAATATGTTTATGATGACCTTGAATTTGCTGGTCGGACCTTGTTTGGCATATTGGTTTGTTAGCAGATTCATTTACATCTCAGGAGTTCTTCAGGTTTAAGATTGAGGATCAGACGGTGAATGGGCTTTTTGCATGATCTCAATGGGTTCTTCTTTACTGACACCCGTTTTTACAGTGAAGTTGAGTTTTCTGTTTGTCATGCTGGTAGATTTTAGAGAGAAAAGGTTTGTGTCTAACATTTGATGGCAGTTTACGCCTCTGCTAATTGCTTATTGCAGAATCCATGTTATAACAGGAGAACATCACCAAAATATATGGTTTTTCATTACTCCTCTTTTATTTTTGGTTATACTGAGCATTTATGCTCATGTTGATATGAGCAGACAAAAGAGATATGATTCTGGTCTCATCTTGCTGGAGCGCCTTATATTTAAAGCTTCTCCAAATCATTTACATGTACATTTCAAAACAGAGATGACTTCTTTATACCTGCTATCATATAGGCCTACCCCTTCTCTTATGGTACAATTTTGCATGAACCTGCAGGCTGAGGAAAATTCTTAATAATTTCCTTTTCCTTTTTTCTTCCTAATAACCGAGCCACCAGCTGTCAGCTTATTACGAAAGGTCCAGCTGATGGTCTTCTAGGGCATTCCAGTCTGTCCAGATGTCTTGCTCCTCATGTTCTTTGAAAGCATTTTGGGTTTGTCCTTAGAGAAGGAGAGGTTGGAAAGGAAGAAATTGATTCTTTGTTCTTAATGAACATAATGAGTTTAAGTCAGGAGGATCTGTTATTGACTGACTGATTGATCTGTGCCACATTTGCACATAACTAATCTGTTGGAACCAGAATGCTGACTTGCTTGATGGGGATCAAATACTTGTTACCTGAGGCTGTAGAAAGTAAAAGCTTTCATTAGGTGTTAAAATAATATGTCACCAACAATGACTGCTGCACCTTGAAGGTAGTCAATATCATTATCCTTAAACTTAAAGTATTAGTGCAGTAACTCCTCCCTATCCTTTTTTTTTTAGGTCTAAATTACTTGTTACATTCAAACAAAAATAGTCCTATACTACAAAGTGGTACAAATATCTGATATTTGAATTTGGATTCCAGCTTTATTGTTTTTGCAACTAGACAGAGAAAAGGAATGCCTTTTGATTTGATATTCAGCTAAGAACATTAATCAATTTTACTGCCATCTTACCAAGAATTGCTGTACTGTAACTTTATTTTTTAAACATCACATCTTTATTTTACTAGCTGTTTTTGGGGGTGATTTCACATCCCACAATGTAATAAAGGGGACCATTACTTACAATATATTACCTCTTCTGTGATATGATTGGCTGATAGAATAAAATGGGCTAAGGAAACCGAGTGAGTGAGCTCAACAATGTTTTCATCCTACTGGCAGTGAAAGCTTGGTGTTATCACCTGAAAAAAGAGACATTTAGCTTCTCAATAAAACTCCCTTCAACATTTGCAGTAACATGTTGCATATCTTGTGTAAGTAGAGCCATTTTCTTTGAAGCCATCTGGAGCGAACACATCAGAGCCAGTGACTTAAAGAAATGGAATAAGGAGATTAAGAAGACCAGCTCTTTTTAAGTGACTGCCATAAAAGCCCTACAGCTGACTGTGGAAACACTAATGTTTCACAAGCTGCTCAGCATATCAGGCAACACTGCAAACCTTGACATAACACGCTAATTAAACAAAAGAGTCCCTTTAGTCATGCTTGTTTGATTCTTTTGTCGGACAGATTTGAACAGGATATAATTTCTCCCAGCATAGTAACTCTTCAATCATTAGCATTGTTTGTTCATACTCTTCTTTTGTGTGCTTCACATGGCATGCAATCACTAAATGCAATTTTTTAGCATTGCCTGTCAATTCAAATTGCAAATTAACCAATCAGACACTAGCAATTTAGTGGGGTTTAGCATTAAAAAAGGTGTTAAAGATGACAAAGTCCAAACAAAGAAACAGAGCAGCGAAGAGTTTGGACTTAAGGGAATCTGTCAATGAACTCCTAATTAATGGGAATAACACATACTTACTTTGATTTTAAAGAGGAAATGGTATGCAATGAGTGGCCTTTTGTCAACAGTCATACACAGAGGTTG